TGGTCTTTGGTGGTAAAGTGAATTATAACAGTGGACTTTATAACTGGTCTTTGGTGGTAAAGTGAATTATAACAGTGGACTTTATAACTGGTCTTTGGTGGTAAAGTGAATTATAACAGTAGACTTTATAACTGGTCTTTGGTGGTAAAGTGAATTATAACAGTAGACTTTATAACTGGTCTTTGGTGGTAAAGTAAATTATAACAGTAGACTTTGTTAAATTGGAAAGATTTTTGTTCTTTAATTTCTCCTAATGTTGTTATAAATTAAATGCACGGTTTTGCAGCTGGAGATTCTGGTTTTATGAATTCATTTGTTTGTATTTTAAGATATATTACAAATTGTATTTAAGTAATATATATAAGTACCATTTCACATTTACAGTTAAATGTTTACTGTTTTAATCTTTGGTTGTATTTCAGATGTTCACACATATTTAACAAGCTTGGCCTTGAAGGCTTTAGAAGAACTCACATAGATGTCTTGGGGTCTGAACAAAGTTATGGAGCACAAGCCAGACCAGTTGATCAGGTGGGTTTTCTTTCAATAAACATGTTTTCCCTGATAGTCCCTAAACATTAATCAGAAGTTGTTTTATATTTATATCCTAATGATAATACTGGTAAAATCTTTAATATTATTTACTACCAACTAGTTTCAGTAACACAGTTACGATCATCAGGGCTAGTATTTACAGTGTTAGATATTAGCCCTAATGATCGTAACCTTGTTACCAAAATTAGTCAGATGTAACTATTAATAAGCATTTGACCTTTCATTGGTTGTTTTATAAGAACTAAGTATGTTGAAGAGTGGGACAGAACAGTGTTGTTTTATAAGAACTAAGTATGTTGAAGAGTGGGACAGAACAGTGTTGTTTTAAAAGAACTAAGTATGTTGAAGAGTAGGACAGAACTAAGTATGTTGAAGAGTAGGACAGAACGGTGTTGTTTTACCAGAACTAAGTATGTTGAAGAGTAGGACAGAACAGTGTTGTTTTATAAGAAAGAGGCTCCACTGAATAATATATGTCAGATAAGAGTGTAATGTTTTTAATTGTCCACTTACAATAACTTACAGTTCCTGAAATGCTAGTGATGATTCAAATGGTTATTAATCCCTTATATTTTCAGGCTCCAAGAGAGGCAGTGTTATGGATAGCAGTACATCACAATGAAAAACGAGCTTTGGAGATTTTTGCCATGGAGATTGCAGCATCAGCTACTGGAGCTGGTATGTTTTAGTTTTATAAAGTTTTCTGTCGATCTTAGTAAGTAACTTTTTGAACCTATTATTTAGATGTAAATAGTTTATACACAATTGAATGTTGGTCATTTTTGTTCCTTTTAATGTTCAGTATGCTAGTCCATATTGATTCTCATTTCATTGTTTAAAATCCATGTTCCTCTACAGTTTGCTTCTGTTAATCTGTATTTGTTTACGGGACTGTGTTGCTGTTTGATATTCTTTTATTGTTCAGTTTTAATAATCGATACTCATTTTCAGTTCAAACTTGGTAATCCAGTAATCAGTACAGTGTTAGTGTTTACATGCTAATCAGAACAGTGTTACTGTTTACAAGCTAATCAGTACAGTTTTAATGTTGACAAGCTAATCAGTACAGTGTTAATGTTTACAAGCTAATCAGTACAGTGTTTAATGTTTACAAGCTAATCAGTACAGTGTTAATGGGTACATCCTAATCAGTACAGTGTTACTGTTTACTTGTGAGGTTTTAAATATTATATAATTTGTCTTCATTGTATCTCCTAAAGTTTATAAATATGTTTAAATGCATTTTCTGTAATATTTTTTTCTTCCATACAAAAGTAATGCCATACACTGTTTCTTGTAGCTCCAGGACTGACTACTCTTGTAGGTGGGCGTCCCAAACCGTAAGCTTGTTTTTCAATCCTATTTCTTGTTTTTTATACGAGTTCATATTTCGTAAATAAGTTTGTTCCTCAATTTTGCTTTACTTTATACACTTTCCATTACTCTAGAGTTCCTGTGCTGAAGTTATTTTCATTCTTGTACCCAAAGGACAAAATTGAAGTAAGTTTTTCTTAAATCAGTTGAAATCATGTGAGAGGTATTTTACTCTGTAAATTGTGACCACAAAATAATAATTGAATATTGATTCATTTAATAGCTAACTTATTAAACTTTGTTTTCAAGCGTTCATACCAAATATTCTAATCTTGATTCATTTTGTTGTTGAGAATAAATATCTTGTCGGCGTGGAATGTATCACAGATATGTTGTCGGCGTG